TTATTATTATTTAAAACCCATCCATTTTAAGGCCCACAACTGAATTTTGTAAAAAAAAACAAAACCAATTCTTGTGTCTTCTATGTCATTTCTCCAATATCTAATCGTACTGTCTTGGTGTCAATATCCTTTAACTAATCAACTTAAAAAAAAAAAAAGAAAAAAAGAAAAGAAACTTCGCTGATGGCTCGATGCAAGCCACTGTAACACTGCTCTATTTATTAAAAGCTTGAAGACAAATTAAAGGACCACCAAAGGGACCACTAACTTCTTGGTAAAAATTAAAAACAACACTATATCTCTTTTTATATGAATCATATATTGTCATATTGGATTTCAACTTTAAAGTTTTGTAAGTTTTTTTTTTTATTTTATTTAAAATTTTTTTTTATACTTGTTAGTAAATATATTCTAACAAAAAAATTAGTATACTCTCTCTATCTCAGAATAATTGATATTTTTTGTTTAGAATTTATCCCAGAATAATAGTTTTTTTTTTTATTTTGAGAAAGATAAGTAGTTTTTTTTCTACTTTAACTTTATAATTATATTTTAACTTTAATTATTTATTTTCTTATGGAAGTAGATATTTATTTTTAGTTATTTTTTAAGTATAAAATAGATAAAGATAAAAATTGTTTTCAAATCTTTCATTCGAAGATAAAACAAAAAAATCTATTATTTTAGTATGGATAGAGTAATATTTAAGTAATAAAACCTATCGATTTTTTATTATCACAAAAAATTGTATAATTTTCTTTTAGGATTTAGAGTTGTTGAGCTTACAAATAAAATTGAATATTATGGTAATATTGAAGTTATACGGAATAGAATTGGATTGGAGTAGAAAAATTGAAAAAAAAAAAGTACAAATCCATAAAGGGAACATATATGGATCCAATAAAAAGAAAAATCTTGGATATAGTCATATAGAGAAAAGCAATAGGAACATAAATCAATATAAAAAGAAGATAAAGTCGTATATAGTGTAATTGGCTTGTAAAAAGCGAAAAAAATTTGTTTACTTGTAGAAAGTGATAAGGTGAAAAGATAAGATGTTGCCGTATTTCTAAACTATATTAATGACTTATGGAGACAAGAAAATCAAAGGCCTATATTCTCATTTACAAGTTAATTATTTTGATATTTACTCTTTCAGTTTCTATAGCAATAACAGAAAAAGTATTTTTCACCATGAAAATTGTGAAAACGAGACTTTGTAACAAAATAGAGGATGAATTTCTCTCAAACTTTTTGAATGTTTATATTAAAAAGTAAATAGTTCAGTCATTTAGTGTATATAATATTATAAATAGATTTTGTAACATGAAGACTCGACGTAAGTTTTCAAAATTAGAATACATTAATTTAAGACTTGAAAAGCCAACCTCCCCTAACTAAAATTCCTGACTCCGCCCCTGATCTTTACAATTGTAAAGAAATATAAGAATTTATTTATAATTTATGCCTTTTATTATGTTTTCACTTATTTGTATGACAATATATTTTATAGTTGTGTTTTTTATTTGATATTAAAATTTTTTTCATTATCTCATACATTTAACAATATTAAAAATCAATTAAACTGACCAAACCACACTAATTTGATTTGAATTGGATTAGTTTGATTATCATATTATAATGGATTGAATTAATTTAAAATTTTTAATAATTGATTAATTTAAATTAATTTAAAAAATATTAAAATTCGAATCAAATTGCATGTAGAAGAGCCCTAGAGTCAACGATTAAATAAAATGGGAGTATTAAATTTTATTAAGGGAATGTGTCAACCATAGTTGTCAGTTCTTATTATTATTTGATTTTTATTTTTACTTTATGATAAATAATTGGTTTTAATTATTTGA